CGAGACGGAGTTTTTTTCTCGTTTTCGGCCTCTGGGGGCCCTTGCCAGGCCTCGGGGCCGTCAACAACAAAGATTCGGGAGGAAAAACCAGCCCTGGGGAAGTGGTCGAGAGGTCCGGGGGGCCCGTGTCTCCAGAACGTCGAGGCACCGGATGTTCTGGCGCAGGCGCCCGCCGCCGCTGCGTCCGCCGCCGCCGCTGCCGCTGCCGCCGGTGCTCACCCTATCCTTGGCGGTGACCGGCCCGTCCAGCATCTGCCCCATGGCCCCGAGCCGGAGGCGGGGGGAGGGAGGGAGGGAGGGAGGGAGGGAGGGAGGGAGGGAGGGAGGGAGGGAGGGAGGGAGGGAGGGAGGGAGGGAGGGATGGCGGAGGAGTGGTGGGGTGGGGTGGTGGTGGTGGTGGTGGTGGTGGTGGTGGTGGTGGTGGTGGTGGTGGTGGTGGTGGTGGTGGTGGTGGTGTGTGTGTGTGTGTGCGTGTGTGCGCGTGTGCTGTGGCATGGCACGGGAAATGACGCCAGCGCTGCAGCGGGAGCACGAGTCGAAACGGGCGGAAGCGCGGAAATGAGGCCAGCGCTGCAGCGGGAGCACGATTCGGAACGAGCGGAAGCACGGAAATGAGGCCAGCGCTGCAGCGGGAGCACGATTCGGAACGAGCGGGGCCCGAAAATGAGGCCGGCGCCTCGGCGAGAGCAGCATTTTGAAAAAAACACAAGCAACCCGTTTCCCGGGCGAACAACCCGGATATCTTCGGGACGCCATCAGGGGAAGTGGGAGAGTATTTTCATATTGTGTAAGGAGGAGGAGGAGGAGGAGGAGGAGAGGAGAGGTGAGGAGGAGGAGGAGGAGGAGGAGGAGGAGGAGGAGGAGGCTGAGGAGGAGGAGGAGGAGAGGAGGAGGAGGAGGGGAGGAGGAGGAGGAGGAGGAGGAGGAGGAGGAGGAGGAGGAGGAGAGAGGAGGAGGAGAGAGGAGGAGGAGGAGGAGGAGGAGGAAGGATGAGGAGGAGATGAGGAGGAGGAGGGAGGAGGAGGAGGAGGAGGAGGAGGAGGAGGAGGAGGAGGAGGAGGAGAGAGGAGGAGGAGGAGGAGGAGGAGGAGGAGGAGGAGGAGGAGGAGGAGGAGGAGGAGGAGGAGGAGGAGGAGGAGGAGGAGGAGAGGAGGAGGAGGAGGAGGAGGAGGAGGAGGAGTAGGAGGAGGAGGAGGAGGAGGAGGAGGAGGAGGAGGAGAGCGGAGGAAGGAGGAGGAGGAGGAGGAGGCGGAGGAGGAGGAGGAGGAGGAGGGGGAGGAGGAGGAGTGAGGAGGAGGAGGAAGGAGGAGGAGGGGAGGAGGAGGAGGGAGGCGGAGGAGGAGGAGGAGGAGGGAGGAGGAGGAGTAGGAGGAGGAGGAGGAGGAGGAGGAGGAGGAGGAGGAGGAGGAGGAGGAGGAGGAGGAGGAGGAGGAGGAGGAGGAGAGGATGAGGAGGAGGAGGAGGAGGGGGAGGAGGAGGAGAGGAGGAGGAGGAGGAGGAGAGGAGGAGGAGGAGGAGGAGGAGGAGGAGGAGGAGGAGGAGGAGGAGGAGGGAGGAGGAGGAGGAGGAGGAGGAGGAGGAGGGGAGGAGGGGAGAGGAGGAGGAGGAGGAGGGAGGAGGGAGGGAGGGAGGGAGGGAGGGAGGGAGGGGGAGGAGGGAGGCAGGGCTCGCGAGGCTCCCGGGCCGGGGCTCGCGGGCGGAGGTTTTGTCGGCAGGCTTGGGTTTTTTTTTTGGGGGGGGGCGCCCTGCCGCCGCCCGCGGCCCGCCCTGCCGCCGCCTGCCAGCCTGCCGCCCGCTGCTCGCGGGGGCTCGAGGTTCGAGGGCGATCGGGGTTCGAGTCAGCCACGCGCAGAGGGGGGTGGGGGGAGGGGGGAGGGCTTCTTAGAAGCACCCCTGCTTCTTAGAAGGCGCGGGCCTTATCTATAGATGTAAGGCCGGCGCCTTCTAAGAAGCAGCCTTCTTCTAAGAAGCCCTCCCCCCTCCCTCCACCCCCTTGTGCGCGCCGCCAATCGAGGAGCGACGCGTCTGGCTTCTTCAGGAGGGGAAGAAAGACACAGACACAATGAGTCGTCGATTCCCCAGAAAATGTACGAACATATGGGAAGTGGGGGGGGAAGACAGAAACCCAGAAAATAGGGGGAAACATGGGGTCATTTGTGTTTATTTACTTGTGCGTCCCAGTTCCCCTTCGTTTCTGCCTGTCTGTTTGGGCCTCTGGGAGGCTCCTCGTCGCCGCGGCAGGATCCCCTCCGAAGTGCTGGCCACAGCGCGCCCGCAGACAGGATCAGGTCGGGCACCTCCCTTCCACAGGAGGAAGGCTCAAGAATAGTCAAATCGTCAGGGGACGACGATCTTTTGACTATGTTAGGCTTTTTGGTGTTTTTTTCGGAACACATCTTTTATTCCCCACATCCAGAGTGGGGTTCTTGTTTTCTCTGCACACCCTTCGCGCAGGATCTCTCCTCCTCCTCCTCCTCCTCCTCCCCCCTCTCTCTCTCTCTTTTCTCCTTTCGCACACTCATTCAATCACTCACACACCATCATCACTCACACTAACCCGCTCACCCACTCACGCGCACTATCATCACCATCGTCGTCATCACTCGCACATTTCATTCATTTGCACACTCATCATCATCACTCACTCACTCGCCCACTCACTCACCCACCTACCCACCCAAGCGGGAGCTTCGTCTGTGAGTGAATTGTGAGGAAGTCTCAGGCGGGAGCCCCCTCCCTATCAGGCCCACAATTCACGTTGGCAATCCGAGCGGGTCATCGGAGCCATGCAACTGTCGTCGTCACTTTTGGGTTTCTCAGGCGGGAGCCTCCTCCCTACGAGGCCCGCGTTTCATGTTGGCAATCCGAGCGGGTCATCGGAGCCATGCAACTGTCGTCACTTTTGGGCTCTTCAGGCCTGAATGTGGAGAAAGTCTAAGGCGGGAGCATCGTCTGTGAGTGACTTGCGAGGAAGTCTCAGGCGGGAGCCCCCCTCCCTATGGGGCCCACATTTCATGTTGGCAATCAGAGCGGGTCATCGGAGCGCTGCGACTGTCGTCATTTTTGGACTCCTCAGGCGTGAATTTGGAGGAAGTCTCAGGCACGAGCCTCGTCTGTGAGTGAATTGCGAGGAAGTCTCAGGCGGGACCCCCCTCCCTATGGGGAGATAAGGTATTACTCCGGCCCGTTGGTTGTTACTGCAGCCCGGTGGGTGTTAGTATGGCCAGGGCTCTTCCGGAGTGTATTAATTCACGAGTGCGGTGAAGGAGGGGGGCTCCAAAGAGGCTCCTCCCCTTTTTCTCCGAAGAGCCTCTCGGAAGAGCCTCTTGGGCTCTCCCCAGAGCATCTTGGAGCCGCCGAAGTGCTTCTTGCAGCCGCAGAAGAGCTTCTTGCAGCCGCCGAAGAGCCTCTTGGGCTCGCCGAAGAGCCTCGTGCGCTCTCCGAAGAGCCTCTTGGGCTCTCCGAAGAGCCTCTTGGGGCCTCCGAAGAGCCTCTTGGGCTCTCCGAAAAGCCTTTCGGGGGCCTCTTGGGGCCTCCTGGAGACCTCTTGGGGCCTCCTGGGGACCTCTTGGGGCCTCCTGGGAGCCTCTGGTGCCGAAATCTCGGAATGTGAATACGGGTTCTCACCTCTGGGACCTGTCGGGGGCTCGTCCTGTGGCTGTCCTGGGCCGTCTTAGGGGCCTCTCGGGCCGTCTTGGGACCCTCTCGGGTCGTCTTGGAGCCCTCTTGGGAACCTCTGGGGCAGTCTTGGGGGCCTCTTGGGCCGTCTTGGACGCTGTGAAAGCCAAAGGAGTGTGTATATATATATATATATATATATACACATGTATATAGAAGAGGCTCCTCGCCGCTCGAAGAGGCTCTTCGGCCGCTCGAAGAAGCTCTTCGGCGGCTGAGGCTCTTCGGACTAGCACTCCGTAGGACTAGTACTCCCTAGGGCTGGTGCTCCGTAGCAGGAGTACTCCCTAGGACTAGTACTCTCTAGGACTAGTACGCCCTAGGGGTAGTAATTCCTAGGACTGGTACTCCCTAGGGCTAGCACTCCCTACGGCTAGTACTCCGTAGGACTAGTACTCCCTATGAGTGGTATTCCCTAACACGGCACTGGTCGCAACGAGGCATCCTCCCTGAGCCGTCTTGAGCCAAACATGGCTTTTGGAAGGGGGAGAGGGAGGGGCAGGGAGAGGGGGAGGGGGAAGAGAAGGGGGAAGGAGAGGGAGGAGGAGGAGGAGAGTGACGGGCAGGGCGGGGAGGAGTAGTATTCTCCAGGATGCAAGGATGCACGTGTTCTCTGAGACCTCGCAAGGTAAGGATGGAACGCGCTCGTCTTCTCCTTCTTCTCCTTGGCCTCGCCTAGGATCCCAGGATGCCTCGTCCTGCCAGGCCCGTAGTTCTCAGGTTCGCAACGGAGGCACGGCTATATCCTTCTCTACTACTACAACCCAGGCACGATCCGCGATCCTCGTTTGAGGATGTTAAGTGTGAACAAGCTGGGAGCCCAAGGTGGGGTCCGGGCGCCTTGACGGCTGGGAGCCCAAGGTGGGGTCCAACAAGGCAACAAGGAGGAGTCTCTCAGAGACCTCACAGGGGGTCCACAGGCGCGCATGTTCTTTTCAAAATTGAGCTCCCAGGGCTTCTTCAAACACTAGTACCACTACAACACTACCACAGTACGGACGCAACGCTACCGTAGTACTACCTACAGCACCACTACCACAATACCAGTACCACAACACCACAACACCGCTACCACAACACCACAACACCGCTACCACAATACCACAACACCACAACACCACATTACCAGTACCACAATACCACTAACACAGCACCACTGCCACTACCACAACAGTACTACCTACCAACAACTCAACAACACTACCAACACTACACCACTAACACAACACTACCAACACCACACCACTAACACAGCACACCACCACCAGCACCACACCAGCAACACAGCACACAGCACAACCAGCCACTACCAACACCACACCACTAACACAACACTACCAACACCACACCACTAACACAGCACAACGACCACCACACCACTAATACAGCACTACTACCACGTTGGTTCCAGGTGGGAGTTACTGTGGCCACTTTTGGCTGTGCGGGAGTGCATTCCCTGAAGGGGTTGCGAATCTCTCCAGATCTATCATGAGATACCTTTACATCTTACTTTTCATTCAGCGGCCTGCGTGGGCCACAGTAACTCCCATCCGGCCGCGCGACGGGCCACACTAATACCCAACGGGCCACACTAACACCCAATGGGCCACAGTAACAACCGGTCGCTCCCTATGGGGCCCGCGTTTCATGTTGGTAATCCGAGTGGGTCATCGGAACCTTGCAGCTGTCGTCATTTTTGGGCTCATCAGGCCTGAATTTAAAGAAAGTCTCAGGTGGGAGCCTCCGTAGCCATTTTGGCTCAAGCTTCGCTTTGGCACAGCTGCGCTTGTGCCGGGGGCTGTCCATGGCGCATGAGGAGGAGCTCACAGCTCTTTTGGAGGAAACTTCGTCGCCGTCGCATTGCGGCACCCCGCCTTCTGATGACGAGCGGAAGGTGCGGCATCGCAGCTTCGGCTCGGCGACGGCCGCGGCGGGTCGGCCCGCCGCGCGGCGCTGCGGCGGCGCCGGCGAGCGAGACCACGAGTCCCTGGTGCGGCAACTGAGCGGCGACCTGGACTCAGATACGGAGAGCCTGCACAAGTTTTGGCACCGGGCCGGCTGGCTGATCCTCCTGCTGATGTTCCAGTCGACCTCCTCCCTAATCCTGGAGCGCTTCGACCTGCTCATCCGGTCACACCCCGTCGTCATCTATTTTCTCACGATGCTGGTTGGCGCCGGCGGGAACGCGGGCAGCCAGAGCACCGTGCTGGTCGTGCGGCAGTTGGCGCTGGCCACGGTCGGCAAGCGGAAGGGCGAGACCCCAGACGACAGGTTTTCGCTGCGGCACATCGTGGCCTCGGAGGTGTCGGTCGGCGCGCGCCTCGCGCTGGTGCTCTTCCTGGGCACGTTCGTGCGGTGCGTGCTGTTTCAGGTCAGGGGCGAGGAGTGCCTCGCGATCTGCCTGTCCATGCTCGCCATAGTCTTCGTGTCCACCGTCCTCGGGGCGGCGCTTCCACTGCTCTTGAACAGGCTGCGGCTGGACCCGGCGCACGCCGGGGCCGCAATCCAGGTCATCATGGACATAAGCGGCGTCACGCTGACCTGCGTGGTGTCGTGCTTGGTCCTCGGCCTGCCGATCACTGGCGGCCACCAGGTGATGCCCGGCAACGCCACCGGGACGGCGGCGGGTCCGCACGGAGGATCAGGCAGTGCCAAGGGGGGTCACCACTGGGGGGGTCGCCAGCTTCTCCTGGAAATCGAAGTTCCAGGATGGAGAGTCGAGGGGTCGAGGATGTTCTTGGACGTTTCTTTGCGTTTTCGGGGCTCTGGGGGGCCCAGTTCCTCGAGGAAGTCTCGAGGAAGTGGCGTTTCCTCGAGGAAGTGGCGACCCCCCTAGTGGTGACCCCCCTTTGCACTGCCCCAGAGGAGCAGAGCGCAGGGCGGGTGCTGGCTTCGTCGTCCAGAATGAGGGCGCGAGGCAGGGCCTCAGCCGCTTCGGCGCGGCGGCCGGGCAGTCTTGACTGCGGCCCCCCTCCCCCGTCCATGCCTTGGCCTTGTGGACATCTTCTTCCTTCCCCTCCTCCTCGTCCACCCCGCGAGCCCCCCCCCCCCGCGGAGAGCCGGGATGCCGCGCGCGCGCGCCCGCGACCGCGCCCCGGCCGCCCGAAAAAGAAAAAAAAAAAGTCTCAGGTGGGAGCCTCGTCTATGAGTCTATGAGTGAATTGTGAGGAAGTCTCAGGCGGGAGCGCCCTCCCTATGTGGTCAGCATTTTATGTTTGCAAGCCCAGCGGGTCATCGGAGCCCTGCAACTGTCGTCATGCCTGGGTTCCTCAGGCTGGAATTTGGAGGAAGTCTCAGGCGAGAGCCTTGTCTGTGAGTGAATTGCAAGGAAGTCTCACGCGGGAGCCCCCCTCATTGTGAGGCCCGCATTTCATGTTGGTAATCCGAGTGGGTCATTGGAACCTTGCAGCTGTCGGCCTGAATGTGGAGGAAGTCTCAGGCGGGAGCCTCGTCCGTGAATGAATTGCGAAGAAGTCTCGTGCGAGAGCTCCCTCCCGATTGGGCCCGCGTTTTAGGTCATCGGGATCCTGCAACTGTTATCATCCTTGAGCTCCTCAGGCCTGCGTTTGGAAGAAGTCTCGGGCACGAGCCTCATCTGTGAGTGAGTTGCGAGGAAGTCTCGGGCGGGAGCCCCCTCTCTATGTGGCCCGCGCTTCCTGTTGGCAACCCGAGCGGGTCATCGGACCCTTGTAAGTTTCGAGGGTGGGCCTGCTGCATGGCTGGGTTTCGTGCTGCCCTCCGCCAGAGCGCGGCCGCGGCCTGCCTCGAGGCCCGCGGGGTTGTCCAAACGGCCCGGCCCGCGTCCTGCCCCCGCGCCCCAGC